GTCCTGTCAGAACCAGATCAGTTCCTGCAGTGAACCCTACTCCCTGGTTTAATGACAGCCTTCGCAGCCTGAAGCGTCAATGCAGAAAAATTGAGCGCTTGTGGAAGAAAACCTAACTCCATGTCCTTCTGCAGCACCTAAAGGATCTTCTGACATCCTTTAACTCTGCAGTCAGAGACGCTAGGGTTTCCTATTTTTCCAACCTGGTGTCCCAGAGCAAAGGGAACCCCAAGGTGCTGTTTAACACCATCAGCAGCATCGTCTCTCCTGCCTCTCCTATAGCTTCCATCCACTCTGTTGCAGACTGTGAGAACGTTCTGTCTGTCTTTGTGGACGAAGTCAATAAGGTTAGATCTAGCATCTCTCCTTCAGCCTTATCGCTGCCTCTTCAGACTCCAACCAGGCCCATAATCCTAGATAGGCAAAGCAACAGGAGCAAAGCGGAGTTAACCAAAGTAGTTAACTCTATGAAGACCTCTGCATGCCCCCTCGACATCTTACCCTCATCTTTGTGTAAAATTGCTTTTCAGTCCATCGGTCCCAGCGTGCTCTCTATAATTAATGCTTCTCTGGTTTCTGGTCAGGTCCCTGCTTACTTTAAGAACGCTGTAATCCACCCGCTTCTTAAAAAACGAGTCTTGACGCCTCTCTCCATAGCAGCTTCAGACCCATCTCTAAACTTCCGTTCATCTCCAAGATCTTGGAAAAGGTTGTGACTAAACAGCTCACAGCTGCTCTTGATGAACATAACATCTATAATAGCTTCCAGTCAGGTTTTTGTAGAGCTCATTGTACTGAAAAAGCTCTTCTTAGGGTCTCTAATGACCTTCTGAATCACAGTGATGCAGGGGACTGTTCTGTTCTGGTCCTGCTGGACCTGACTACAGCCTTTGACACTGTTGACCATCACCTGCTACTGGAGAGGCTGAGAGATTGGGTAGGCCTTTCAGGAACTGCTCTGGAGTAGTTCTCCTCTCATCTTTGAGTGTTCCTTTTCTGTGGCCATCTCCAAGTTTAGGTCCTCCACCTTCCTCTTTTACCCATGGTGTCCCACAAGGTTCTGTGCTGGGGGTCACTGCTCTTCCTCCTCCATCTACTTCCTCTTCAGCACATCCTGAGTTCCTTCAAAGAAATCTCCTACCATCTTTACGCAGATGACATCCAACTGTACATCTCCTTTAAGCCCCATGAGATGTCTAAGCTGCAGCTGTTACACACCTGCTTCGACTATCAAAACCTGGATGGCTGGGAGCTTTCTACAGCTGAATGAAGATAAGACTGAGATCCTCATCTGTGTCCCAGACAATCAGGTTCCCAAAGTCAGAGACTCTCTTGGTCAGCTTGCTTCTCACACCAAACCCTCCATCAGGAATCTTGGTGTGACCTTTAACCCAGCTCTCACCCTGGATTCTCATGTCAGTTCTCTTGTTCGCTCCTCCTTCCATCTCAGGAACATTGCTAAGCTGAGTCCCATTCTGTCTCGCTCTGAACTTGAGACAGTTCTCCACACCTTCATCTCCTCACGCTTAGACTACTGTAACTCTCTTTTCACGTGTCTGAGCAGAATCTCCCTGAACCGTCTACAGGTGGTTCAGAATGCCTGTGCTCAGCTTCTGACCAAGTCCTCCAAACACACCCACATCACCCCACTTCTCCTCTAGCTTCACTGGCTGCCAGTTAACTTCAGGGTTCATTTCAAGATCCTGATTCTGGTCTACAGGGCCTTACATGGACAAGCACCATCTTACATTGGTGATCTTCTTAGTCCCTACACCCCCAGCAGATCCCTGAGGTCCAGTAATCAAAGCCTACTGGTTGTACAGCACCAGGCTAAAGACCAAAGGTGACAGATCATTTGCTGCTGTGGCCCCCAGACTCTGGAACTCTCTCCCCCGAGCCTGAGATCAGTGGACTCAGTGGTCTCCTTTAAAAAGCAGCTGAAAATTCACCTGTTCAGGCTGGTTTTTGAATGACCTTCACCACTCACTCTATTCTGTTCTCACCTATTCCACCTTCCTCAGGATCCACTGATTTCTCTTTTATCTATTCACTCACTCTCTTTACATTTTTTAATCACAATTGCCTATTTTTTGCTCATTTAAAATATTTTGAACCATTTTCTAAATTCTTTTTTGATTTTTACTTTTTTTTGGTTTGTTTTTGTGAAAGCGCCTTGTGATTTTAATCTTGAGATATGCTATAGAAAAGTTATTTTCTTCTACAAACTCCTCGGGATACCAGGGTTTTCTTGAGTCCAACCTGAGACCCTTAGTCCAGTTAATGATCTTTTGTTTTGGCAAACACTGGGCTAAGATCATTTTACTGTCATTGCACAGGGGTTTAACGGAATTGACGTTGTGCTCATTAAAGACAGCTCAGGTAAGGAGGTAGTAAAATAAAACTAAAATAAAATAACAAGGCTAAAATAGAACAAACACACACACTTTAACAAAAGAATAGGTAAAGTATTAAAACTTGATTTGAGCAGCCCATTGACCTAAAAAACACCCAAGTAACCATCGCACTTGCATGAAAGTCAACAAATCAAACAATCAGACAAAGGCAATTGGTGTTTATCTGTTATATTGAACTCATTTAATGATCTTTAAAAAGAAAACAGCTAATGGTCCTGAATAAAAGCATAAAACTGGAATAATGTGAACTTCCCACATCCACCAGTAAACCTGCTTTAATCTGCCAGTGTTTAGATGTTGATCTGGTTGGTTAAATAAACTAGAGTAACATTCTGCAGCTGTTCAACACAGAAACCAACATGGTGCAACAAGAACAAAGGTTAATGTGACCAATCCATTCAGAAAAATACTCTACTACAGATGTGGACCTTTACTGATCTCTGGAACTAATTAATGGAGAAAAAACAATTGTGGTTGTTGGTTGACTGACATGCCAGAACACTGCTTGTTACTTACAGGTTATTTTAAGGCCTACTGTGGTTGGTATCCTTCTCTAGGAACATCCTTTTAGTCTCATTACAGTTAAATGAGGGCTGATGTTTTATTCAGCCGAGAATGCAAATATTTATTATTTCTGAAGTGAGACCAGCTCAGAACTGACTGAAATGTTGTCACACTGGATGTTTACCTTTAATAACGTCACTGATGTACAGACGAGAGAAAGTCATTGCTCAATATTAAAATAAACAATTTTTATTTATTTCTGTGTGAAACTTGATTCGGAAAAGAGTAGAATGCCTTCTCCGGGTCAGGGATGAGGTCCTGTCTCAAGTGGAGGAGTTTAAGTATCTCGGGGTCTTGTTCACGAGTGAGAGAAAGATGGAGCATGAGATCGATAGGCGGATTGGTGCTGCATCATTCTGCAGTGATGCGGGCGTTGTACCGGTCTGTCGTGGTGAAGAGAGAGCCGAGTCAGAAGGTGAAGCTCTCGATTTACCGGTCGATCTACGTTCCTACCCTCACCTATGGTCATGAGCTTTGGGTAGTGACCGAAAGAACGAGATCACGGAAACAAGCGGCCAAAAAGAGTTTTCTCCAAAGAGTGGCTGGGCTCCCCTTTAGAGATAGGGTGAGAAGCTTGGTCATCCGGGAGGGGCTCGGAGTAGACTCGCTGCTCCTCCACATCGAGAGGAGTCAGTTGAGGTGGCTCGGGCATCTGGTCAGGATGCCTCCTGGACGCCACCCTGGTGAGGTTTTCTGGACACGTCCAGCCAGGAGGAGGCCTAAAGGTAGACCCAGGACACGGTGGAGGGACTATGTCTCTCACCTGGCCAGGGAATGCCTTGGGATTTTCCCGGAGGAGCTGGCTCAAGTGGCTGGGGAGAGGGAAGTCTGGGCCTCTCGACTTAGGCTACTACCCCCGCGACCCGACTCTGGATAAGCGGATGAAAATGGAAATGGATGGTGAAACTTGATGTAAATATGGATCATTTTGCTTTTTAGACACTGATGAAAAATAGTTGAGTCTAGGATAAATGTTTGCAGAAGAATCGGGACAAAAAAAGTGTAAAAAAAAAAAAAGAGTCAAAAATGGGGCATACAGTACAGGCCAAAAGTTTGGACACACTTTCTCATTCAATGTGTTTTCTTTATTTTAATGACCACGACCGTTTACAAAGAGGCCAACAAGTGCTAAACACCTCTGGGATCTCTTTCATGATGTTTGGAAAACCATTTCAGGTGGCTGCCTCTTGAAGCTCATCAATGCCAAGAGTAATCAGAGCAAAGGGTGGCAATTTGGAAGAAAACAGAATATAAAACATGTTTTTAGTTATTCCACCCTTTTTGGTTAAGTACAAAACTTCACATGTGTTCATTCATAGTTTTGATGCCTTCAGTGAGAATCCACTAATGCAAATGCTCATGAAAATAAAGACAACACATTGAATGAGGTGTGTCCAAACCTATGGCCTGTACTGTATGTAGGCTGCCATCTCACATTTACATGTATGTTTAACAATCGTTTTTTCCTCAACACTCCTCTTGAGCATGGATGACATTAGTTTCTTTCCTTTAATAAAGTGTATTTTTTTCTCTCAGTTTTAGAGATCTTCTGCTCTCACACAGTTAACATTTAAAATTTTGCTTTGATTATATGTATACCGTTAAAAATCTGCATGGCTGATTTTTTCCTGTGCTTGAAGCGAGATGATCCATTTAAATGTCCCACAGCAGGGATGTGATGCTGACCAATGAGCTCGTCACAGCTGAAGCACCCACCACTGACAACGGATGCGAGTTTGGATCGTTAAAGGTGCTAAATTATTACCAATGGAGAAACAAGCCTCAAGATCTGAGCAAGAAAGTCCCAAAATCCACAAAATATGCTCTCATTCAGAGGCAGGACAGGAGGTGCAAACAACACAAACAGGGTCTTAGAACACAGATAAAGACCTCTAAATCATGGCTTCAAAATAGCCAGTTTTCTCTGCAGAACTATGAACATAAAAAAAAACCAAAGAGAAAAATAATAGCAATAACTTTACTAATAAACCCCTAAAATGTCTTGGATGCATTTATACCCACCTAATGTTAAAGACACAATATTCCTAAATGACTGACAGTCGGCCTGCCCAGTTGGAGTGATGCCAAGTGTAAAATGGTCCAGCTGTTCTATCAGCCTCATACATTTCTTCTGTAAAGACAAAAAAAGTAATTTACACACAGCATCACCACCAAGCTGTTCTCATGGTCACTCATAAACAGATGAACACGGAAAATCCGAACCTGCAACAGGATGTCCAACGTTCTTCTCTTCAGTCCCGCAGTCAGAGTCACAACACTCACAGAGAGCGCTCTCGCCCTCTGTAGCACGCCACCTGAATTACAGTTTTTAAATCAGCCCTGGAGCATCTTTATCAACACAAATCTGATCTTCACTAGTGGGTGTGGCTCATCCTGACCTAAACGTGCGTCTATCAAAGAAGCAGGCTTTATTAAGGCGATTGTGAGATCTCTGTTTCACAGCAGCTCTCAGATGGCAGCTGATGAACATCTGGATTAAACACAGAAGGCATTGATCTGGGATTTAATGAACACAGCTGGTTAGAAAACATGCATAAATAGATTAGAATATAAAAATTGTTTGGCGACCTGCTCCTCGGATGTCTGGTTGAAGCGGAACGTTCTGAGACTGAAGCAAAGTCTGTTATCCTGATTTCTGGGAAGGAATCTGGATGGCGATCCAGGGAATACACTATCCATAAGACACCTGGAATGAAGGTCACTTCTCTTTAGGGAAACTGGTCAACTTATTCAGATTAGAAGATTAATCATGCATTAAATTAGATTCTAAAATCTCAACACTAAATGTGGAATGATTTTTTTAGAGAATGAATATTGAGCCATCACATGGAAGTGCTGTTGCTTCAACATCTCACACCTTCTGTTGTTGCAGAGCTAAACTAACCCATGTTTGGAGATGAACTTGTAGCTTGGCGCCGAGGAAGCATCAGGCTTTAACGTTGCAACACAAGAGTCAACATATAGAGTAAGGGTAGGGTGCAGAGGAGCCTCCACTCTGGCCTCAAAAAACACTGCTGCCCCCTGCTGATACACCGAGGAACTGCGTTGGGACGTACAATCATCTGCATCAGAGCAGACACATTTTTAACCACAGGTACAAAAGTTCCCTCAAGGACATTTTGTTACAAAGTAATGTCAGAACAATCATCCGATGTGGATTACTGAGAAAATAATTTCACCTGCCATAATATGAAGGGAGAAGTGCAGAAAGCCAAAGGCACGCATGGTGGAGGTCATAGGAACCCAGGTTGGCGCTACCGGATCTCCAATAACTGTCTGTTTCCTGTCATAAATACAAATATTGTTGGCTATATCTTCTGTATGTTTGTTCTGTGTGATCCGTCAAATTTAATTTCTTGGTTCTTTTCTAAACACAATGTAGTAATGATTTGTGTTTACCTTTAAGTCCTAAATATCTTTTTATTATTTGCACTGTGTTTAGAAGAGAACCAAGCAATGGAAATAGTTGACTATTTTTATACAGGACAGACCTTATAAAGAACAATGTAAATAGACATCAGCCTCACCTTTCATAGTAACACTCAACAGGAATGACAGTAGTTGCTCCTCGAACTATCAGACTTCCTGTAGAAGTGGGAAGCACAGCAGGAAACAGCAACAGCTGACTGGAGTACACAAGCCACTTGTCACGAACCTGAAAATACAATAAAATTTGTTGCATCTGGTCTTTAATTTTGCAAAACAAAACACCCCCCCCCAACCCCCCCCCCAAAAAAAACCATACATCCATTTTCATGTATATGCTTGAATATTTTATTCAATTATCTTGCATTTTACTAGAGAAAAAGTAAAAAAATGTTTTTAAGTGAGCTGATTAGAAACGTCATGAGTGCATAGGGCTTAAAAAGGTATCAGTGTTGTATTAATTTTAAAAACAAGCAGTGGAGGCAATAAAAATATATATTACATTTTCCCCCCCGTTATTTTATTTTGAAACTCTGAACAGGAAGTATAGTGCTACATGTAATACCAGGCGGCCCTGTTATAATTATGGTCATAAGAGGGTTAACCATAAATTTCCTTTTACATAATATTTAAAAATTCTAATCAACACCAGGTTAGCAGGTTATATACCACTGTATAAAATAATATTTGACAACAGAATATACTTCCAAAATATCAGGCTAATAGAAACTAGACTGCTTGTAGCCTTTAGCTTGCCATAATCATAGGCGTCATTTTAACCGGGACGCCGGGGACATGTCCCCGGCAAAAATTGTGATTGGCAGCTGTGTCCCCCCCACTTTAAAAAAGCCTGCTGATGAGGATTTTTGTTTTACCAGCTCAGATCTTATACCAGGGGTCGGCAACCTGTTCCCATCAAAGAGCCATTATTACCCGTTTCCCACAGTAAAGAAAACACCGCAGCGGCCGCGGCGTTGTGGGCGGGGCCTACCCTCAGACAGCAGAGAGCTGCTCACAACCAGGTGACAGCAGCAGGTACCGGTCGCTCGCATGGGCGTCGCACCTGTGGGGGATTCAACACCCACACCTTTCCAGCTGTTTTGCTCACCTCCACACCAGCCTGGTTTCTTTATGTCGCACTCACTCTGTTTGCCTCATCTCCTTCTTCACCTCCGCTTCTGACAGCCAATGTCGGGTTTCCAGGAGAGCAGGAGAGGGAGGGACGGAAGAGCTCGACTGAATTCATAATTTTACATCTTGACATTAGCTGTACAAAGTCTGAGTTTGATAAAGTGAAGAACAACAATTTGCAGAGGTTTATAACTGGCGCGGCGCCAGGTTTTCATTTTTGGGTGGGCCACGGTAATTCTGGACGGACCTTAATAAGCAGTGACTTAGTGAAGCAGGCAGGACGCGCTAGAACATTTTGTTTAAAAAGACGTCATAAACGTGTTCCCCCGTCATTTTTATTTCTAAAATATGAAGTAAAAACTCCCAATTTAATTTTTATTCATTTGTCATTAATATGTAGTCTACACCCGTGCGTTAAGTGGACCATCTTCCAGTAAAAGCAAAGCATCCAGCCCATCTCTCCAAATGCGTAAAATGTGCACCACAGCCGTTAGGCGCACCGTCAGCTGTCAGCCCAGAGAAGAGCAGAGCAAATAGAATAGAGGATCATTCTGTCTGGATGTGGATGGAGATTATATTTTACAGCAGCCTGATCATCTAAATAAAACCATCACCTGTCTTCTAGTCCACGCTATCAGCATTATTTTAATTGGTGTGTGTGTGTGTGTGTGTGTGTGTGTGTGTGTGTTTTCCACTTCAAACACTGGTCTAACCAACCAGACCAGCATGTCCAGTAACATATTAATGTTACAATTAAACAGTTTCACTTCATGTAGGCTAGGAACGTTCCACCTGCCGTGGCCCGACCGCTTTTGATCCACATAAACTTTGTGCGTGATCAAATGTCTCTACAGGTGCTCTCTGAGCTGAAGAGGCTGTTCTGCCTCAGACTGGATGCGTCATGCGTCTCCATATTAGAGACGGGAACAAGCGCTGTTCAGCCAAAGTTTAATAATTTCATAAAAAGAACATTTTTCCAAGCTCATCATGCGCATCAGTGTGCGTCGGGGTAATTCTTTCAAAACAGCCAGCATCCTTGAGTTTATCCATCAAAATACAGTCAAATGGAAATATCTGTAACCTGCCATTTAACTGTTTTGCCTTCTTGTGAAGATTGTTGCAAAGAGAAACAACTAAACTTGATTAACCCCAGAGCCACGCGCACTGCGCTGTACCGACTGTAAAATGAGGGGAAACGATTTAATCGGATCCTTTTCTTTTCAACATGGTTTAATGTTAAGTTTCATTCAGTACAAACTTTAGTTACACCAATCTAACGAGACAGAGCCTGGATTTGTATTCTGAACAGTTTAAACATGTTTAAAACGGAGACATGCGTGACGCGTCTAAAATTCGCACCTGCTCCGCTATTATGGAAATTAAACTAACAAGGTGAATAACATCAAATTATTTTAGGCACAGACAACATCCCCCACACTTTTGAAAATCTTGCAACGCGCCTGGTCGCTCCTGTACGTCAAAGTTATCTTTCATAAGAAGATAATCATAAAACGATTTATATAAAGATGATCCAGAAGTTGTAGCCCGTCTCTGCCGACAATATTTTGATATTTTTCACCCTGTTGGTGGTTTTACTGAGCAGGTGCCACTTTTGTCATACGTTTCTTTTAAAAACATGTTTAGACTGTTCAGAATACAAATCCAGGCTCTCAGAACCAGAGCGCATGTGGGAAGGTTCCTCCCACTGAAGCGAGAGTTTTCCAAACCCGGTCTCTCAGAGAGATTTGTCACTTAGAAAATGTTCCCTGATTATGAAACTTTGGCTGAATAGCGCTTGTTCCTGTCTCCAATGTGGCGACGCATCCAGGAGCCGTCTGAGGAGAATCCCAGAATCTGAAATCCTCCAGCTCAGGAAGCGCCTATGATTACGCACAAGCGTGACGCGTCAACCCGGTCTCACAGTAAGACCGGGTTGACCTGTTCAGGTTTACGCAGACAATCTTTACATTTGGAATTAGCATACAGATGTAAAATTAATGCAGTAAAATATAAAGCTTTTTATTTAAATATTCATTCATTATTTTATAAGCACAGAGAGCCGCATCAGATGGATGGAAGAGCCGCATGCGGCTACAGAGCCGCCGACCCCTGTGCTAGCCTACTTTATTGTCCCCAGCAATTTTTAAACCCCACTCAAGTGTATGGTTATTGTCCCCAGCAATTCTGAAAACAAACTGACGCCCTTGGCCATAATAGACATTTTCTCCCCTAGCTTTGTTTTATTTAAGTTTAAAAATGTACTAAAAATACCCCTTACCTTAGACTCTGTGTCCCATCTAAAGAAATACTTTCATCCTCAGTTTTATTTGATTATTTTTTAAGCTAACAATCTTTTGCCATTCTTACCCTGGACTCGAACCCACAATCCTGAAGTCTTGTGGAAATAACCATCTCAATTTGAGATACCGGTCTTTCTGGTCCGCAGGAACTCTTCCGCATGGAATCGAATCCTAGCCGAATGAATTCTGGTTTAAACGGAACGCGTCTTTCTTTAAAAAACTGCCGCTTCACCGTTATTCTCACTCTGCTTTCTCCACACTGGACGTGAACTCCACCGTCTGCTGGGCTCTTTGAGCGACTTTTCTCAGTGAAAACCTCACATGAATCAGCTAATAATATAAAAACTGTTAGTATTCTCGTAAATTTGACCATAATGGAGGAAAGCAACGGTGAAGAATAAACAAATTAGTGTCATTGCAGACAGCTGTTCCACTGAGGGGGGTATAACACTGTGTTGCATTCAATGACCTAAAAAAACTGGTAATTTCTATTTTCCTCATTCAGTCAGACACGGCAGATTAGGAACACAAAATAAATCAGAAAATATGTTTCAGGCAATTATTTATGAACCATCTCCTTCATCACGTTTTTTTAGTTTGTTAAATTGTAATTTGTTACAAAAACTAATTTTCTATTTTCCTATTTCAAAACTAACAAGTAAAAAAAAAAGGTTTCTCAGTGAACTTGGTCTTTACTTTGCAACAGAGCCTGGAAAACTCTGGTAATGATTGATGTCAGGCAATTTACCTTAAAGGCTGACGTAATCGGGTCACCCTAGATCCCGGAAGTAATTCTGGTTGGACGTGCTGTGCCGCCGAGCCAGGTGTGTCATTACGAGGCTGCTATAATTGGGAAGGCTGGGCTCTAGCTGCAGAAAGGATGAGAGGCTCTGAGATTGCGTGCAGCTGTGCGTACAGTTGAGGAGTGTTTGGTTGTGGTTGCCAGCTCAGTTTAGGCCCGGGGAAGTTCAGGTTGTAGGGCCCTGTAAGACGGCGGTCCGGCTTCGCTTCGGCCTCAGTTGTGGTAGAGGATGGGGCGGAGGGGAGTGAGGAAGGCTGTTCAGCCGGTTGTGTCGGGGGCGGCGAAGCGGGACCGAGGGGGCAGTGATGGCGCTTCGGATAGTGATGGGGATCCGCGGCTGAAGCAGCTGAGGACTGCACAGGAGGGCTTTGTGGTCCGTATACGTGTGGTGGGTGGGGCACGTTTTCCTACCAATAACCCGTTGGCGGTGTCCAAGGAGCTGAGAGGGGTGATTGGGGATGTGACAGATGCAACGGTTGTTTATGGTGGGTTGTTTTTGGTGGCCTGTAGGACGAAGACCCAGCTCTACCAGGCCCGGGAGCTTGAGAAGTTGTGAGACCTGTGCTGAGTCTCAGTCTACTGGTGGTGGGGATGAGGGGGTGGTGGTAGTGAGGGATAAGAGACAGTTTCTGGCATTTCTGGTGGAGGCATTGTGGAGGGTGTGGCATCAAACATGTCTGATGTGGCTCGCGAGGTGTCTGTGGCTGCAGGGGCCTTTCTGGGCTTCAGTGAGGTATCCCCTGAGGACGTTTGGGGGACTGCATGCTTGCGGGGGACTGGGTGCTCTAGGCCTACAGGGAACCAAAAGTCACCCAAGGTGGTGGGTGATGATGATGAGGGAGGGGTAATGAGCGTGAGGTGAGCCTCCCTGTGGGGTATGGGTGTGTTTATGAGGGTGTGTGTTGGTCCGGGGGTTGTATTGGCGGTGGTTGGGTGCTGTACAGGGTGGGGGGTCCGTGTGCTTGTTGTGTGTGGTGGGTTGTGCAGACACGGTGGGGGTGGTTGTTGTGGCAGCAATACGCCTTTTAGGTGTCCAACCTGCCTAATTCAATGAAGTCGAAGCTGCAGAAAGCCGAATGCCTCTCTTTGTGTGCAGATGTGGGAGCAGCTAAGACAGTGGTGAGTGACTTGGCCTTGCTTCATTTTAAATAAAGGTTGTATTTTTAATTGAACATTTCTATTTTGTGAAGCGTGAGCAGGACTGAAGGTTGAACAAACAAGGAATGAACTTTGGCGAGCTGAATGCCGATGAGGTTTAGAGTATTTATTGCATTTTTGTGTATTTTTATTGTAGAATAAACAATGTGTGTTTGTTCACAGATCTTAGCCTGCTACTGGTTTCCAGTTCCTTCATTACTATTTATTCTTTTGTTTCTATCTTACTGGTAGTTATCTTCAGGGAGAGGGGGGGGGGGGGGGGGGGACGACGACGACCATCCTGTGAAGCTAGTAGTTAGCTTGATGACATTGCTGTCTCTGGGAGGGTATTTAACTTCATTTGGTGTCTCCGCTGTAGGGGTTTGTCGAGGGTTTTACTCACTTCCGGGGGCATGTGTATGAGCTTTAGTTAAAGGGAGCACTGGGTGTTTTCCTTTACAATCTTTTGTGTTTGTTCCCTACAGCGGCTTGTGCTTTTAAACAGTAGTTGGCTGGTGTGTGTGTGTGTGTGTGTGTGTGTGTGTGTGTGTGTATTCCCAAGGCCAGCATTGTCGTAGCTCCTACCTCCTCTTCCTCTTTAGAGATTTAGTCCTCTCCTTTTATCCCTATCTGCTTTTAGTAAATCTTATCTGTAGTTTTCGATGTGTCTTGTTAATAAAATTATTGTTAACTTGTGAACAAGCCTCTGCTATGGTCTCTTTAAGTGTTACTACCTACGGTTTAGGATCAAAGCATCCAATCCACTAGGTCACAATGAGATTTCCTGTAAATCAGAAAGTAAAAGTGGCTTCAGCAGAATGTCATTTAGAAAGTGAAAATGTGCAGAATGAAGAGGAGCATGCTCCCTCACAACTTCACACAGCAGAACAGCAGACATAGTGAGGCTTCATACGTTGTCCTTGCATCCCCTTCATAGTGAGGAAACTGATCTCCCTTTAGATAGTTCTATTGCAAAGGTATGTTGTTCTATTGTTAATTTATTATTGATAATAGAAAAACCACTGGTTCAGTGTAATAGCTGGTGAAAATGTGAAAACTGCATGATATGCTACAAATTCCTATTCTGATTAATCCTCACTCCTGTCATAAACATGGCATTTATTTATTTATTTATTTATTTAATTGTGCTTGTACATTGTGTCAGGCAAAGAAAGATACAATTACAACAAATTTTGGTGCAGTCTTTGAAAAGAAATTAAGCTATGACTTATAGATCAGTGGTCATCAGACAGTGTAAAAGGTGAAGAGCAGGTGAAACAATAATGGACAAATGGTGGTTATCTTTTATTTTTTTAAATCTTTTTTTTATTGATATTTTGCTTTACAACACATAAATGACAATTTACATTTGTTGCACATAATATTCACATTGCTCCAGTGATAATGTTCCTTGGGTTGATGCATTGTGCCGTCCAAATTGCAGTAAGCCGTACAGAGTTAACTACCGGTAATAACATCATATTCCCCCCTTCCTTTCCCTAGATACCTAAACAAAACAAAACAAAACATAGAAAAATATAAAAAGGGTGGGTGGGTGGGGGGTGGGGGGGGGGGCACCCATTTCAATCTTTCTTTCTTGGTTCTTGTTCTTTATTTTTCCTTTTGTTTTTTCCCTGTTTGGCCCATCCTGGTCATCTTGGTTAACTCTCTTCTGCCATGATCGCAGATCTTTCCAAATGATCAAGAAATGGTTGCCAGATTTTCTTAAACAGTCCTACTCGACCTGATAGAGAATATCTGATCTTTTCCAATTTTGTGTGTATTAGTACATCTTTAAGCCACTGGTTATGAGAGGGTGGGTGGGGTTGCTTCCAGTTGAGCAGAATGAGACGTCTGGCTACAAGGGTTGTGAATGCCATCACAAGGCCACACAAGGTGGGAGCCTTTGCGGTTCAATCCCCTGACAAGGAAACTGGTTTTTGGGACATGGAACGTCATCTTGCCGGCGGGGAAGGAGCAGGACCTTGTGGCAGAGGTTGATCAGTACCGGCTAGATATAGTCGGACTCACCTCGACACATAGCATTGGCTCTGGAACCCAAGTCCTTGAGAGGGGGTGGACACTCTCCTTTGCTGGAGTTGCTCCGGGTGAGAGGGGGAGGGCTGGGGTTGGCTTTTTGTTAGCCCCAAGACTCTCTGCCTGTGTGTTGGGGTTCACCCCAGGAGACGAGAGGGTAGCTTCCCTGCACCTTCGGGTCGTTGTTTGTGCTCATGGGCCAAATATCAGTTCAGAGTACCCACCCTTTTTGGAGTCCCTGGGACGAGTGCTAGATAGTGCTCCATCAGGGGACTCCATTGTCCTGCTGGGGGACTTCAATGCTCACGTGGGTGTAGCGTTATGAATATTATAATTGTCTGCCCTTAACAGCTGCCCCTTTACACAGTAACAACGTGTAAGAATCGCCAAGGTCGGGTGCTGGTTTCAGAATGTTTACATTCCAGAAGAAGAAGAAGAACAGAAGAAGAACGCTTTTAATTAATCAAAGTACTTTATTTGTGATAAAGCTAGTCAAAACATATGTTGATCAATAATAATCAGGTGAATGATCTGTGAAATAAAGATGTCATGAGTTATGTGTTTAATGAATAAACAGGACTGCACCAGACAGACTGATCTACATTAACATGGAAACGCATGACACATTGTTCTCAGCCAATCAGAACTTTCGTCTGTCGTAGGGCAGAATCTGGGTTGTTTAATGAAGTTGTCCAATCCGGTTTACTAAGATTTATAAACAACTAGGGGATATAAAACAAGGCAACGCCATTTTATCCTCAGTTCCATTTTAACCTCAGCTCTGTTCAATCTGAGGCCTAGTCCACACGTAGCCGGGGTTTTTTAAAAACGAATATCCGCCCCTCCAAAAACTTGCATCCACACCACCGCGTTTTAAAAACAAACTGTCCACACATACCCAGATAAATACGTTGTTAAGGACATGACAGACCTTTAGGCAGCAGAACTTCCCCCGTTCTTAACCTCGTCCTTCGTCTGTGGTCTTCCGCAAGGAGCAGTAATTCCGCTTGCAAAAACAAACAAGCAGAAAGCGCTTGGACAATTGATGGATCGGGTAGTGACAGAGCGCAGCTCTGAAGGCTTCCATGATGCCGGCTAGTGTAAACACAGGTCGCACACGTGATGTCAGCATTTTTTGTCGCGGAAAGTGACGTTGCGGACCTTAAAACTCCGGTTTTGTCCGTCCACACGCAGACACCCAAAACGGAGAAAACGCAGATCTTCACTTTGGCCGGAGTTTTTAAAAAGATCCGTTTTCGTGTGAAAAAAACTCAGTTTTCGTGTGGATGACAGGCCAAAACGTAGGAAAATATCTACGTTTTGGCAGATCCCCGGCTACGTGTGGACAGGGCCTGAGTTCCTAAGGAGTTCCACTTTGTCATCGCTAAGAAAGGTGCAGGCTGGCCAGCTGCACTTTCCTACTTTAAGCTGAGAACTGTCAAGCTGGAGA